TCGCAACATTCCGAGGGTAAAACGCAGGCCATCGCGCCTGCGCCTCGGTATTATCGCGAAACTGTACGTATGTACATAATCCGTTATTTGCGTAGCGAAGCAGCGAATCCAAGCGCACCTGTCTAATGCGCGCGGGTACACAAGGAGGGCCGGCGCCAGGTGAAGCGGAGGCATTAATTGGGATTAAGTAAATCAAGACGCTAATTAGCCTGCTCGTATCCAACCTTCCACCACTCCCGTTCCCTCCGCAACGACTGCGCTCGCTGCCGCCGCCAAAGCAACGCCACCCACCACTGCTACCGCCCATTCTGTATCGCTGCTACCGCCCACTTGCGATCGCTGCTATCGCCCACTTTGTATCACCGCTACCGCCCACGGAGAATCACAATTTTACAGCTCTATTTACCTTTTAAACATCTCATTCTCGAATATTTTATCCAAAGAATGTTTTTCATCGCTGTTATTGCGTTTCACAACTTCATTGGGTTTCCTTTCGTGGTTGAACTCCTCATCTCGACATTTTTAATTCAAAGAAAGAAAGTTGACGGTTTCATTGATTTTCATGATTTCATTGATTCTTTTTTTGTAGTTGATATGTCGTACACGGTGCATGGGTTTAAATGTCGAGTTTCAATCCAGTTAAGAACACTTTTGCAGTAAGTGTAGGTCAATTGTGAAAAGAGTAATTATAGTTCGCTCGTATCCAATCTTCTACCTCCCTCTTACTTCCGCACGCTACCTACCCCACAGTCCAGGTTCACTGCTACCAACAAAGACGGGCTACCACCCATCGCCGCTGCCGCCCACTCGGGATCGCTCGTATCCAACATCCTCCCGAGTGCGTAATAGTCTCCGCGTTCTTAATGTTATGTTCCAACAATCAATCTTCTCCCAGATACTTTTATGCAAACATATTGAACCTATAATTACCTGAATACTCGTTCCAGAATTTTTGCAAAAAGCATGTGTAATTCGTTTTTGAATGGAAACTCCTTATCTCATGATAGTGCATGTAAATTCGCATGTTAAAAAATAGGAGCGCATCAAAAAATGAAAATCCTTTTGTTAAGGCTAATAGCTATTATTTTCATGTGTTAGAATTCTTGCACCAAAATGACTACCAATTGCGTAAGGATATTTCATAAAAAGTAATTCCCTTTAACTTGGAAGCTTCACTCTCAATCCGCGTCTTAGATCACGAATTTTACCCAGAAATCTAGCAGAAAAATTATGATCACAAGAAATGACAATCTCATCAGTTAATAAAACGTTTGCAATAACAATACTTGATCACGGAACGAGAGAGGGCACACGAGTCGGCATTGCCCATTCGAGTCAAGTTGACATTGCTATGCCAAAATGGAACAATTCGATCAAAATCGTTCACTCGACGTTAAATTAAAGTCTCTGTCAGCCAACGAATCTCCCGAATGATATAGAATTGCAGGCAAAAAAAAAAATTGCAGAGGTCTCTAAGAATTTTACGAGTTAACCGCATAAAGAATCGCCGAAGCTCACGGGCTAACGCGAGACTGAGGAACCTCCTAAGATGAAAAGGAGAGAAGAGAGTCAAGAGAACGCGAAATCGAATAGCCAGAGGAGAACCGAAGAAGCGAACCGCGGGAAGGCCAGAAGGAAATAAAAAGGAGAACGCGGCCGCCGCCAGAGACCGCGTGGCTGGTAATATCGCGAAAAGTGTTTGCTTAACTTGTCTGAAGTGAACCGAGAGCATTAGACCGAGCGCTCTTACGTGTCCTGAGGTCCCGGGGTCCAGGACGAGGCATCGACTGTGTACTCTCTTAACGCGATTATTCCTGGTTTCCTTCGGGAGTCCATGGAAAACCGAGTTTACCAACGAACAAGGAAGTACACCGGAACGAGACCGACTAGATGGTGATAATCTTCCAAGACCGTACGAATCCATTTTGGTCCTCACTTGGCACCTTGCAATATGGTGGCTGTTCGCAAAATCCGCCTCGAGCAAGCATTAAACCGCGTCATTGGCATCATTTGCTCTGCTCCGAAAAGAACGTCCGCAATGGCCACTACTTCTTCGATTCAAGGCATATATCCTCCCCAACCTGTGCACCGATTTAACTTCAAATGTCCTCAATATTTCCAACTAAATCCAACAGTACCCACTTTCCTCCACCAACCATGTTCAGGTTTTACAAAAGTTAATTTTTCTCTTCGCGAATCGGATTCGACAGAGGTATCGTTTTCTAACACAGAAAAGCGAACGAAACACGCGCCGTTCAGACGTTTATTGTCGAACCGCCCATGGATCAATCCCCAGGCTGAAGTTTCATTTGAATGAGCCCTCGGCGGTGATCGCCCGACGGAAGTTTCGAGTACGCGAACCGCCCTCCTCGACCGATATCGGTATTATTCGCGGGAAACGAGCCCAAGGGTGGTTCGCAATGGCGAATCGCGCAGGGCGGGGAGGCGCGCGGTCTCGAGGGAAATGTGCGTAATCGTCGTCCTATTCTGCACCGGTAACAGCTTCGAGCCAAAGGCTCGTTTATTGGTTGGCGCCTGTGCCGTCGAGAATCACTGTCCATCCGGTAGGTCCCTTGGCTATGTACATCGTTCCATTTGTCCCCCGCCCCTCCCCGCCACTTCCGATCCGTCCCTTCCCGTTCCATGCTGCATCGCACCTGTTTTGTGGTCACGTGACTGCACTCCACGAAACGCGACAAGCCTTCTTTTATGCAATAGCAATTCAACGGGGAGAATGCGTCGGAATTTGCGCATTATGCAATATCCACAGGTTGGGTACTCTATTTATCATTTTATTAAAATAGTTTTAACCCTGCAACGACCGCGCACAATTCGACATGTAAACAATAAAGGTGGAGAAAAGAACAATAAATGGAATCTTTGTTCACTTAATTTATTGAAAAAAAAAAAACAGATTGCGGTACTCAGTTCCAAGTATTTAATGTTATCATTAGATTAAGACGTTTAAACTCCTTACGTGATTCAAACACATGTAATATAAGCAACGTAAATATCAAGTGAACATATATAGAATTAAAGTCCACCGTTGTCGCAGGAATGAGAGTTTGAAAACATCAAATGAAATACTTGGAAAAAATCTGACTTCTACGTTGCAGAAAATTTCAATGCGCGACATCGCGACGCGGTGACAATTGCTTCGACCCAAGTCGCTCGGCAAAACATTACAATCCGGATATTTGTGCGCGAATTAATATCCATGAAGGATCGAAAAGGATTTTTACAATTTGAATAAATCGCGAAGAAAGGAAGAGGCGACGAGAGCAGGAAGGGAGGGAAATGGGTTGCAGGAGAGAGCGCTCGAGGGTGAGGACTCGGTTAGAAGAGAGGGCAGATGAGTGAATGTCTGTATAAAATGAAAATATCCTTATGTTTGCGAAGACTTGGACGGGGGCGAGTACCGCTCGATTTCCCTTCGAGAGAGGGAGTGAGGACGAATGGGAGAGAGAGAAAGGAACGGTGTTCGGGACAGGGAGAGGGAGAGGGAAGGGGATAGGACACGAACCAACCGGCCGTGGCGTAGCGAGTTACGTATAACGGAATAAAGAGGAATTCAACGCAACGTGAAATATAAATGATATTATGCAAATATCCCGAGGAGAGGAGGCAGCCGAGAGGGATGGAGGAGTACTCGTCCCGAGCTAATTTGATGAAAAACATCAGAGACCGGAAGGCAAGAGCCTGCAAAAGACGCATCCTGGAAGGACCACGAGGTCCTTCTTCTTGCTTTTCGGCATTCGGCATTTCGGTACACTCCCCTCGTTTTCTCTTTTTCGCCTTATCCTCGAAACGCACTCTCTAGGCTGGCGGTTAACTCGTATTTACCAGACCGAGTTTGCCGACTTAAGTACGCTCGAGCATCCGATATTTATCCAGAGCTAGTTACAACGTTGTCTTCGCCATAATTCGTCAAAAAGAAAAAACCGGTCGTTAAAGACCGTAATAAACAAAGCCGTGCAATTATTGCTACGGAAAATAAAAACTGAAACATAATCGATATACCACTCTGGTAGCGAATTTAATGACAATCGCTTGTAAATACGGGGCTAATATTTCTGCGAAGCTGTAGTTACTTTCTTGAGCATCAAGTGCATTCTTGAACCTTCGTAGAAAGCATCACACCCAATCGTTCCGGTTATAATGCAATAAGCAAGATCGATGTTACCACAACAAAAATAATCTTATGCGAAGGGTAAGAATCATGAATTTTCTAAACAATGTGTCGCCCCATCTACGAATTTAGTAGATCCTAGTTTATGTAAAGCGGCACTTTAAAATGTTGAAAAATGTAAAAGAGAGTTTACCGGAATTGTTATTTAATTTTACATGAATTAGTGTACAGTGAAATTTTAACAACGGGAAACATTTTACACTAATTGGTAGTAAAATTGTGCAGTAAAATTTGAACTAAACTAGAAAGATAAAAGCAATCTGGATGCGATTTATGATTAATCCATTAGAAATCGAAGATCGTGTAGGAAGTCAATACGATGTATGGAGTTACCAGACCTTGTATTACGGTCGCCTATCTCGTATTCGAACCAATTGATAGCATTTCAATTTTCGCTTCTGAATAAACATACAAAACCTTTTTACATTTTCACAATAAATAGACATATCTACCGGTTTTTCATTTAAATAATGGGATCATGGAAAGTAGAGCTCTCAACGCGACAATACACGCAATCGATATGAACTCGTTCCAACGCTCGAAGGAAGCCGAGTGCACTGATGACTAGATGTGGAGTTGAAAAGAAAAAGCGTTAGATTATAATAAAAAAAAAACCTAATGAAACCTTAACGGTATTCATTTATATAACAATACTTGCAGTTACCTCTGACGTGACCGAAGTACTTGCGTGTACGAGACGTACCTACTAGTTTCTTTCAATGTTATATATTTATACAACAATACAGTATTTCAATGACCACTTTCGTGTAAAAACGAAAGTTTAATTGCAATTCTAGAGTAGTCCTATAATTTAACTAATAACGGGTTAACAAAAGAGTGGCCAATCTTAAATTATTATAATCACGACAAATCCACAGGACTAACTTTATATGATTATTAATTTTATTAACATTAAAAATGACAAGACATGCCGGAGAAGACAAAGAAAGAACACAACATACGAATAACCACCAAAAATATAATTATTTCTGGATTCGTATCCATTCTGTGTGACCAAGAGCCCGTAAATTGAAATACTAATTCTAAGGCGAATTATTCAAAACGTTTCAGACCCTTAAATATACAAAACCGTTCGACTTTTTCCTATTTCTCGGAAAAAAAGAGAATTCTTTGGGACACCTTTCTAAGTTCCGGATTAGTTGGATACATAATTCGTATTAAGTTCGTCCGATTCGAATTTCATTCTAGCATTTCAGGTCTCCACATTAAATCCTTTAAGTCATGTCTCTTTCCCATAAACCGATTACAGAAGTCGCGCATCGATATGCATCCTCCTCGGAAGTGAGCCTTTTTCCAAAGAGTCCAAGAAAGACGCGGGAAGGTCCGCAAGATGGAGGGTGGATAGAAGAGGAGACGAGAGAGACAATAGGCAGCGGTAAAGGTGGTCGGACCACGTGTTACCGCAACGGCCAATCTCTTTGATTGGGGGCGGTTCTCACCCCCGCGTCGGGGTTGGCAGCGCGGCCGCGAAGTGGGGTCGGGAAAACCGCCCTGCCGCGACGCCGCGCCCGGCGTTCAAATCACGGACGCGGGGGCGTCGCGACGTCATTAGTCGCCGTTTCTTCCTTCGGTGGGCCGGCGAGTCGGCGATCCGACCTCGGGACTTTACGATCGCAGGCACAATCGTTGTAATCCTAGAAGACGATAACATAGCAGGCGCGATTCGTTATCGGTAGATGGGTCCACTCAAAGTCGATCTTAAACATTCGCAAAAACCGCGGTGACGTTGAACACGGTTGATCCTGGAAAGAACTTATCTCGTGGCACGAAAAAGTGACGAGACTCGCGGAGGAAACGCTTTGAGAGTGAAATCACAGGAGAGATGCGACAAAGCGCATAATAAGGGCACAAATCGGCGTTAGGAGACCGAATTTGGAACGTCCTTTGTCGCGTCCAACTTATCAATCTGGGATTATGAATTGACAATAATATCACTCGTGGAAAGCTACGAAAATAAATTGACGAAACTAATTCGAAGAATCTTCTGGTTGCCCCCCAGCGTGGAGGTGATTAGGCGGTCTTTCGGACCTCAACGAAACGCTAGGGAATAATTAATGTCTGGATCACTGCCTAGAAATGAATCAGCTCGCCTAGGAATAAATTCCAAAAAAGGTGTAACGACGTTTGGAAAGGAACAAAGAATTTAAAAGTAACCTGATCTAAGAATACGATAACCATCGGATATCACTTAATAAATCCAAGAACGAAGATAAAATGACGTCCATCCAAGAACATCGATCTGCAGCAGCGTTCGATCTTCCGAGCGACCAACTTAACCTTAAAACACGACATAGAGAGGGTCCATGACGTCTCCCTGAAGAACTGCACCTCTACGAGGCCCTGCCTTCTCTTTCAGACTTTTTCAGCAATCTCTTCCGCGAGTGTCAATTCTTGTACCGAATTTTCTTGTCTGGTGCCGGGAGGGATTAAAAAATCTCCAAGATATCCGATTGCCCTCCAGATCGGTGATCCGAAGGCCCGTAACGCGTTGTTCTAGAGTCCGGGTCAGGACTCGAAGAGACCTCGACATGTACAGCCTATACAGGGCATGGTTCGGCGCTGGTACCGCGGAGGAGAGTTACCCGCGAATGGAGACACTTTCGCCCCCCGACACTCTCGTGCGCGTTGGCAACGAGGGCGAGCACCAGTTCGTCGCTCATCGAGGAGTCCTGGCTGCACACAGCGGTTACCTAAAGGCCCTGCTCGCTACGGCGACGAGTTCTACGGCCCCGTCCGCGGCCGGGAGCGCAGACCCCGCGGCACCGGTCACTTCCGTCTCCGTGTCCTCCGTCGGTAATCATCCGCGAACCATTAGCGCTTCGTTTTATTAAATATCATTTCACTGTAAATTTCGAATATTAACCCTAGACTCGTGTATCATTCGTTCTTCCCGCTACCTTAAGGGTAGATATTCGACCCACTTGTTTCTCGCTGGCAAAATGTTTCCTATCAGCAACATACGAGAGCGTTAGTAGTTAAATCTTTTCGATTTTAATAAGGAAATGAATAGTCAGGAGCAAATTCAATTTCATTCAGGGTCAGTTGATAAAAGTCCCTTTTAGAAACCGAAGAATAAGAAAAATTGTTCCTTTATGAGTGAAATTTCAGAACCTACTGGAGTGGGTTTATACCTCAACCGTGAGTTCTAGGGTTAAGATTCCTATTAATTTCATTCCCTTTTTTCTTATCTAAGTTTTATGGTTCATGGTATCACCATGTAGAAGTGAGTCGATGCTCCTGGGATTTTGGATACAAAAAAGGGCAAATGTTTCAACGCGCTTACGTAAAATATAACATAAAATAGGACGATAAGATTTAAGTTAAGATAACAAGACGAGGAACATTTCGGTCCCGTACCCACGGTTGGACTATGTTGGTTAGAAGTATTAGCTCTCGCAAATCGCAAGAAGCGTTTCATGATGGGGGCGTTCAACACTTTCCGTGTCACAATGCAGCTCGGAATACATTTCTCCCGGGGAACAAAAGTGTTTGCATTGGAATTCTTTCATCCGATCCCGCGTCACTTTCTGTTCCCAGGTGGCGAGGCCTTTGCGCCGCTGTTGAATTACATGTACACCGGTCACCTGGAAGTAACCCTGGACAATATCTACAGCGTGCTCTTGGCGACCCATCTTCTACACATGCCAGGTGCCCTGGAACAATGTCGGGCCGCTCTGTCCAGGTTGCGTGCACCTCCTCCGCTTGCGGCGCCACCACCGACGCCGACGCCGACGTCCGCTCCTCGAGCTGGAAGCGTCCTGAGGCCCGTTCCCAACAGAGTGGTCGCCCCGCCATTATGTTGGCCTCAACCAACGCTCTATCCTTCGGTGCCCGTCAGCCTCTCTCATTTGCCAAATCTGCAGATCCCCGGCGCGATCTCGGCCGTGCCCTCGCTCATTCACGAAGCTCGATCTTCTGTCCCATATAGGTAGATTTCTTCTCCCTTCTCCGGATATCGAAAAGATTCCATTGTTAACTACTATCTGAGCAAGCCTAAAAATGTATACCTCAAAGATAAAAGTCACGAATCCTGCACGCGATACAAATTACTGGAGAAGATGGTCACTTTTCAAACAGACGTCCAATCGAATAATACCGATTGCATTTCATATGATCGAGTAATATTTCTACTCGCTGCCGTAACGTTGGTAGTTACAACAAACACGCCGGTGTTTATTGCCGCGTTACGTCATGAAAATGCTAAGTATCGTAACTGGCGAAACCTGGTTAAGAGACAGAAAGGATCTCGTGGACTGTTAGTAAATTGTACAGACCTATTTGCTCTGTGAAAGTCGTGTTGAAAAATTCGATAAGAACGAGCTTCAATTTCCAGTAAACATTTTAACGCAAAAAGTAGAACGGAAGTCCCCTTCTGCAAGTGAGATCATGTCCACTGCATTGCAACTGCACCAACTGGATTCGACATGAAATTATAAAGGCAGTTTTAACCGATGTAAGTAAAACCTAACTCTGAATTTAATACGAATTCTCCCGTTTATTCTTTAGCTTGAAAGAGGCGTCCCTGTCTTCGCAGCCGACGACGAACCATCGAGTGTCGTACACGAGGTCGAGGTCGCCGAGCCCAGAAATACCGATACCTCGAGCTCGGAAATCCGACACAGAGGGACGCGGGGGAGAAGTTGCGGAATCCGAAGAGCAAAATCTGGCGACAACTTCCGGACCAGGTACGAGGAGCCCCAGCCCATCTGGAAGCAGTGAGAGAATCTCGGTGACGGACACGGAAGTTCCAAAACGTCGGGGACACTCAAGATCAAATACCGAGAGCGCTACCTCGGGGATGACCCTGAACGTCGTGTACGACGTGGCTTGCTGCGACGGCCCGGTCAGGTTCCACAGGGTACTCAACGAGAACTACGCGGCACAAGGTCCACCACCAACGGCGCCGCGCACCAGAACGTCCTGCGCCGCCGAGGAAGACCTCGTCATCGGCGAGAACGACGAAAATGGGCACCCGGACGGCGCGACGTCCGAATCCAGTCGTACGGGGGGTACCTACACCTGCTCTTATTGCAAGCACACCTTCAAGAGCCAGTATTGTTATCAAAAGCACGCGAGGAGGCATCTGTTACCCACTGCCGAGAGCGTCAATGGAAGCACCGGGATCAGCCGCCAACAGGCAGGTCGCAGAAGGGAGGTCAGGCTGCTCGACCTCAACGTTCAGTATTACCCCTGCAAGATTTGCGGCAGCAAGTTCCCCAGCTACTACTTCGTCCACAAACACCGGAAGCTTTGCCACTCGAACGTCGAGGACCCCCGACCTGGTAACGATAGCTCGGACGCACCACGGTGCAGCAATTCCAACTCCGAGGACCAATAGGATCTTCCACGTATATAGGATGTTCTAGGAGTTGGTCGTAAGACCTTGGAGTTGGTCGTAGGAAGTCGCGCTCGCGATATGCTGTATTAATATGAATAGGTAGAGAACCTTGCTACGCTTTCGAGACTACCACCGATCGACGGATTTGCCGAGACATCGGAGGTAGTGGACATTCGGTAGTTGGTAGATCCCAGATCGTTAGACCTCGAGATCTGTTACCACCTCGCGTAAGATATATGCGTTGTCTAAGTTATCCGAACTGCCCACAGTCTATAGATGTAGGAGGTTACATTACTCGACAGATCGCGATATTATAACTTGGGCGTGCATTCGACAAACGAGAGACGTACTCAATTGGCGATGCATAAAACCTGCAATTATCATTATGCTCATCCGGGAGATCTTGCAACTCGAATAGTTTCATAGGGAATTCACGGATTATGTAGCGATTAACTTTAGGCGAGCATTGACGATTGTAACACAGTCGATGGTCTCGAATAAAGCTATTTCAAATTAATGAGAAAAGCCGGGTACTTTGCTAACGAGTGGACGTCGTGTACCTTGGGCGGTTTCATTTCCCGACATGAATTTTATGAAATTACTCACGTATCGAAAATAACGCAACGACGGCGTGGAACAATTAACTTTACGGTATTAAAATAACTGATAGGCCACCAACCTTTACGATACGCGGTACTGAAACTATAATTCACTACTCCGATTGTCCTTTAATTACCATTGGTCCCATTATGTTAATTTTTCGAGAAGTTTAAATTACTCCGAATCGACCTTTTTTTACTTAATTTTCATTGTAAATATGTTAAACATTTCCCTCCCGTAAGATTTCTATCTTTCTTAACAATTTGAATAACTAATTGTATGACGTAGTATATCAAAAACTTTCGTGTCGGATTTCTGAAACGATTTTAATTTATCGAGAAACGATTAAACAGAACCCAGTTATCGAGAATTCCGAGGAACCTGTGCAAAGAGCTTCGAACGGAAGCGATCAAATACGGGAAATATTGAAGTGCGTAAAAAAGAACAAGTTCTAGATACGCAAATTTCGATTGAAATCGGACTCCTAGTCAATCGATCAGGTCATGGCACCAGTCAAGCCAGTTGGAACAACCGATCCACTCTCGCTCTTCATTCCATTAAAATTTGCTTAGCTTACCCCAAAAATTGTTACACATCACTCGACTGAACCTGTAGGTATTAAACGTGCTAGATACTGTATCGAAGTCGTTTGTTGTACCCTTTGAATAATCCAAACAAGTATCTTAAACAATAGTCTATTGCAACTTTAGAAATGAGTAACTATCCAGCAATTCACTATGGACAGCTCATAGTTTATTTAATAAATACTATTATTTTATAAAAGAAGAAAAAATAATCTCTTTCCTTTTGAGATGAATATTCGAATACGAAATGATAATGCGTGTATGTTCGTGAAAAATCACTTAAACATAAAGGGTGCTTTTAAATGAAATGTTAATAATATTCAATCTTGTGTAGTAAACCTTATAATTAACGGAACCCCATTTAAAAAGATTTCATGTCTAAGAAAATCACTAACACGTACCGCTTTTGTCTCGTCGTTTAAACTTTTCGAGTAAATCATATGCCAAATGTACTTGTAAATAATCAATTCATTTTATAAAAAACAATATTCGTGCCTACTATCCTGATACTATTTTTGTTTTCGTTAAGACGGAATGATCAATTCTGAGTAATAGCTAGTCATATCTGACATAGATTCATGTTGCGAACTATTTAAATTTCAATTGAATACACTTACCGATAGTTTCAATGGATTGAGCTTCCTCATCACTGGTTTCCATTGGAGTTGCATGATTTTCTTTCTTTTTGTCTTTCGTTCTGCCACTGGTCACACCTCCCGAAGTTACCCCACTCGTTTTCTTTTTCTCTTTCGTGTCCAGTGGAACACTCGCTGCCGTTGCAGTACTAGTATTGGATGATGACGTTAACGTCCCTTTACAGTCTGGCCTGAAATGCAAATAGACCAAGTCATGAGATCTCCTCCTACACAGAGATGATCATGATAATTCTCTTTTTTAAAGAAATGAATCTACAGTTAGGAGTTAAGAGTTTCTGTTCTCATCTTAATACGATGTGAATTTTGTTCATAAATTTAGACGCATTTAAAATTCAATCAACTATAAAATACATTTTTTTCTCTTATTTAAAATATGATTAAAAAGAAAAGATAAGCTTGAAGTGTTAGGCCATTGCTTCGATTCTCACCAATACCTTAATCATTTAAAAGAATTTATTTATTATACGTGGCAAATAAGTCAAACCTGAATGTTAAATATAATTATTAAGATCCATGTCTATCACCTATGAAGTTATCATCTCTAAAAAGAACGTGCTGAAATCGATTGAAAAATTCCCGCAATATGCACAGAATGAAAAATAAAACTAAACGATTGAGCCTATCCGGAATTCATCCAACAACAAAATCAATTCTAACGAGGAGATTTGATGAATTGATGATATTAATTTGCTAATGGACATGACGATATTGATTTACTGATGGTACACGAGTTATTGAAATAATCATTTCGAGCATTCTGAAATGACAACATTGATTTTAACGGTTGAGAGAAATGCAGATCTAACGGAGTAAATCTATCAAAATGCAGTCATTAAAAACCGAATAACATTGAGCTAAAGATCCTGCAATAAATGTCCAATGCCAATCGACCTTTTCGTTGGATCTTATAACCGTTAGAAACGAATTAAGCGCGACTTCGTTTCCAAGGAAAGGCCGGCATCGATGAAATCTGTGAACTCGGCTCAATTAAGATGATGAACGCCGAGTGGATGCCTACGCAAACACTGTTTGCTAACCGAGAACCATTGATTAGCATTACAATCTGCTAATGCCCGCTCTATGGTGCCCCTCCAAGGTACCCTCTTTGGTCATGACGTGCTGCCGCCCCCCTTTGGTCGTAACGCCGTGGCAACGTTATCAGCTAAACTAATTGCTCAACCAATATATTCATCGCTCAAGACCCATCGAAGGATTAAACTAATTTTTACATTCGATGGAAACAGTTTGCGACCGCGGAATTCTCCGTTGTAATCGCTAAGTGGATGCTCGAAGGGGGCTCATGAAAACGCGGTAGATAGTACGGGGCGGTCTTGTTTGAACGTCGAATATCTTTCGCCCGTTGGCTGTGGCTCGATCGATCGACCCATACTTTTATTGCAATTGAAATGAAATGAATTCCATACACTTTTTAAAATGAGCTACGGTGTGCCCACTCTTAATACGTCCACCCCTGCCGTCGAGATTCTGTATTTGCTCTCTGTAGCAACCGATTCTAAAGTATACATTTCCTTGAGAATTACCTTACTGGACAAAACATTACTTTATAACGTTCTTTTTAGTGATTTCCCAGTTATGCCAAACAGAGGAATAATCGAGTTTCAAACATAATTGCATTTCGTTGGGCTCGCATTTTACTTGGAAATCTCATACCGGGAAAAGTAATCCAATCAACGGAATTCAATAGCGGAATTAGCGAAAATAACACCCTACCGATTGATTGAATCATTCTCGTACAACGATTTACATTGAACATTAATTGCAATAGAATTCGGAGAATTTTATGATCATAATAGCCACATTCATAATTTTAGTAGGAACTAATATAATATGCAGCCAGCGTTTCATTGGAGGGTTCCAACGTTATGCATGTTTCATTAACACGAATAGGTCTTCGAAGATATGAGAAAAAAGAATTATTAGCCGCGAAGAAAACCGACATTCTTCGTTAGCGAGTTAAAAATAGACTCGACTTATTTGCATCTTGAAAGACTTCTGTGGGATAAAGCGCTGTTCGTTGCTTCCTGTCTGCGTTTCTCGGGGTTCTAGGGTTGAAAAAAAATTATAGATATTTGCATAACCACATGTCGCATATGTTGACCAAGAAGTCGACTCAATTGCAACGGTTGAGCAGAGAGACCGACAAAAGACTTGCTACAAAGTCGGTTATGCAGAAACGAAGTATTCATACGCAGACAAATAATATTGACCCAGCAGTAAAAAATGTAAGTACTCCTTATACGCACGTTCTGCTATTTAACTAGTACTACAAACATGACAATTCATATTTTCTATCATTAACTACACTTTTTACAATATTAGTGCAGAAAAACCACACTTCCGTGTCTAATGCAATAGTAACCCTTTACGGTTCTATATCGAAAAGAGAATTTACAAAGCAATTCCACGAATTCAAAGCACAAAGAATAAAAGGTGCTCTCAAAGTAACAATACTGCAATTAAACTTTTTCCATATTATGTTAACACATTATCGCACATCATGAGAGCATTATTACTATTGGAAAGTAAATAACAATATTTCAAAATATTAATTACAATCAGTGCCCCAAGCGTGTATCCTTGTAACAACGACATTTAATAGAACTTACATCGGTTTCGCGTCCTTCCCCGAAGCCGTTTCCGAACTAGATTGCGACTCCTCCTTGACATCCTTCTGAAGCGCAGATTCCTTCGAATCCCCTTTACTGTCTTTGTTCTCCTTGTTAGCGTCTCTCGCATCCTTCGTGCAGGACGCCAACGACGTCGAGGATGTGGAGGAGGTCGACGATATTGTTACTACGCTCGTTGGCACGGTACTACTAGGGACGGATGTTGTCGTAGTCGTTGACGTTGCTATCGTTTCTGTTGCGACACTAGCGGCGACAGTAACCGTGGCCGCGGAGGTGGTCGTCGAGGACGTTGACGTTGCGGACATCGAGGACGTGCTCGTTGTGGACGACGACGACGTCGACAAAGACGGTGTCGATGTCGTCGTCGTAGCAGTGCTGATAGCGGCAGTAGTCGTTGTCGATGCCGTCGTTGATGGCGTCGACGCCGGCGCTGATGTGGTAATTCCTACCGTGGAGTTGTTCTGCGGATTTTCCTGCGTCTTCTGTTGCTGCTCGCGCTGCAGTCTTGTCGTGACGCCCGTCGTCAATATGTCTATCGGTCCAATATTGGAGTTGCTATTGTTTACCTGGAAAGAAAAATCATGACTTATTAAAAAACATACTCTATGAACGGGAGATAAGAATATAACGCAGAAAAATTACATTAACCTCTTAATGTACCTGTTTTTTACAACTGAACCCGTTGCACGCGAGTTAACTCAGTTGAGTACATCAAAGAGTTAATAATTGGAAAATGTATCATAGAAAATAATATACTGGCAACAGAAGAAGATTAATGGATGAACATATTCTACGTGGCTCAGAAATCAATACTGAATATCTGATTATTCTCACATAGTAATAGTAAGTCGCATGCTAAAGATACATTTAATGCTCTTATGTACTTCGTATTTTTGTACGCACATAGAACAAGCGTTTGTTGCAATAACTGTTTTATGTGGCGAAATAAATGCTGCGATATATTTGCTGAGTGGTTATTGTATGTTTCTTTAGCATGCCTAAGAAGTAAATGTGAAATCTAATCGACATATGAAATTCGTAGACAATGACCTTATTGTTAGGATTGTTTCGAGAGCTGCGCGTTCGCTGCCGCGACTTTCGTAGAAGCTGCTTATAGTTTTCAGCTTTTTTTGTGAGGTAGTAGTGATGCACGCAATCCGGCACGGACTTGTGTTCGAGTGACTGCGCTATCGCCCCGAAATTTTTCGGATGCTGAAGATATTTCTCTTTGAACAACTCGTGCTCCATGGGACTCCACACGTTGATTAATTTGCGCTCGCTGTGCAGAGCCTCGAGCTCCTCGGGCTGCAGAAGTCCATTTCTATTTTGAAAAGCGATCCTTCGTTGCTTGGCGTCCAATAACAGTGGTGGAATAACGGCATACGAGCGCATCTTCTTGTCCTCCATCTGTAAACGAAGTATACAAAAAAACATTAGCAACAATTTTCTCGTTGCATTCCAAGGCGAATTCGAAATAAAACATATCCAGTAATGGAGACTCTACCACTTATGGACCAACTACACGTTCATCACCTTTTATGGTTATGCTAAAAGCATAGGTTTCCTCTCTTGGAAATATTAAAAACAACGGAACACCGCGAAAGGACACCGAAGTCCGAAATGGTCCATAATTGGTACCTCAGTGTCAGATTAATGTCAAAAGAGCAAGTGCACGTTACTAACCTGCCGAATTTTAATGGCATTTTTTAACTCTGAAGACATTTCTTCCTGAGGAATTGGTAAAGATAAGAAATCTTCCATGGAGTATCCGTAAAATAGTACTAATTTCAGAACCGAATAATTTTGTGACGATTCGTAGCTACACAAAAAGTTTGTGCAGTATTTACGCGATCGCCAAATATTCCCTTGTTGATCGACCGAGACGAATACGGTGACGTCAATGACGTCGGGACACGTGAAAGGCAACGATAACACAACGAGCCGACTACCACACTACGATGGCCACATAACGGGATTCCGTTATGCAAGATTGAAACATTAAATCGGTAAGAATCGGATTAAACTTGGATGCCATTTCTCCCGGGCAGCTTTGCCTTCGTCCCATGGAAATTGTCGGTCTTCTGCGTCCACTTATCCGGATGTTCGCTTATACCAGCCTCTGCCTAATCCGCGCACGGTAGGTGGACCGTCGAGAAAATCAATATTTAAACCTCCCGAGAATCAGTGAGTTACCATCCTTGTATAATTCAGAACTTCCGAAGTACCGACAAGCGGCATATCAACGTCGCGAAACTTGACTTGAACGTGCTGCAAATGATAGACATTTGCAATGATCGACTAACCCACGCGAATTCAGATCTGATAAATGTATAAGTACATTTCAATCTCAAACATACTTATGCAATATATGTTCTTGAAAAATCTTTAAACCAGAAGCCATTTCGCTTATATTATTAAAACACTCAATTAAAAATGTGGTACTTGAAGTAAATAAATTAATTTAATTTTATAAAAATACACTCCAAATTCATCGCATATAGTGGTGTTCTAGTAAAAAAATCATATCATTATTTGTGAAAGTGCGTACAGTAAATCATTTTAAAATGTTACTTTCAGTAGTTGAAACGAAAAAGGTAGTGCGTGTATTTTTAACAGCCACATTATTCTAATGTTTTCAAGGGTTAACCAGTCATTGCATAAAGCCATTAACTAATCAAAATATATGAAAATTTGCCTGCAGGCATTTTGTCGCATATAAGTAAGCAGTTTTCTAAATCTGACCGTAAATTACTTAAATCACGTATGGTATTGACAACGAATTTATTTTAATCTATAATAAACAAATGTATAAAGCACCCAGTTTTTCCAATATTAATCCGTTTCACGTCTTTTAATATAAGCTCTGATATAATCATATTATTTTTCGGAATACTGATTATATCGACATAAGAGAAACATGTAGTCATTTTAGTTGTTTGTGGAACATAGTACATTAACTTTTTTTCAAGACACAATTTACTCCGTTATAATAGAAATACGGGTTATCACCAAACTGCTAAAATTTATATTGCAAAGAACTGTTGATATTGCGAGCACCATCCTTATGAATTACCATTAATGCATTGATTCTTATGCAATACCAAACATGTACTTTACTTGAACTTATTAAAAATGGAATTTATTCTACAGGTGTTCGAGTTTGTATTACAAAGCACAACCAATAATAGATACATAGTCTATGACGTTTAAGGAAACGAGCTTAGGATTAATTTCATACATGATTTAAGCAACTCTCAGCAATTCAGCAGTTTTCACAACCCGTGTAGAATCTCTCAGACCAAAAGCGTATCATACCACATTAACTGGTGTTAGTTACAGAGTTGGGTGCATCTTGTCTCTCAATCACCTGATATAATCTACTTATAAAGTAAGCATATATGTATGTGTGCATATCAACTAGTGGTAATTTGCGCTAATGTTAGTATCACATAATGCACGGTCTCTAAATGACTACCAAGAAGAGTAAGCGTACCCGAAAAATGGCACATTGCATCGATGGCAACATCGATTCTTTTTACGCTCCCTGCGATTAATAACATTTCAGAAATGCGATTTCCAGAACCAGCCACACAACCGAAGCGATCGGCAGTGGTGTGAAGCGTTATTCCGGCAGACGCATGACAATGACTGACATTTGATAGATTAACGGAATAGGCAATAAGCGATAGAGTAAAAACCGTCCGAGTATCTCATCTGCCTGAACATTCACCGATGTCCACCTTCGGTCTCTGTATTACAATTCCTACTTAACCCGTTAACATTTTGTACACAAAGACTAGTCTTATCATCTCGACATTATTAATTCCTGACCGGCATATGCACTAAGAGGAGGACAGTAGGATAAACATAGAAACAACGAAAAGCGGCAAGAACCATCTTCGCAACAAAGCTTAGTGACGTGCCCTCTTCTGCTCTCATTCTCTCTCAACGTTTAATCCAAAGTTGGACGTCCATACGAATTTCAGTCTGATTACCACTATCGGTAATACCGTTTGCAACTATAATTTCTGAGGTGAGAATCTCCAGTACTGCTTTCAGATACGTTTCGAAATATTTATAGTAATTTCTAGGTTTAATTCAAGGAAAACAATAAAAATAATACAAATGTGCAAATACATGAATCAATAGATTTCTACCAGATATGTAAAACAACTATTTCGTCTACTCTGTATCTTCCTGTGTAAAGCAAAAAACGCATGAGATGCACGAAACAATTTGAAATCCATCTCTAAAATCGTAGATACCTTATTTCGAATAGTATTTCGTAGAACTCTGACTGACTCGCGATATCATTTTCGCCGGCTGTTTCTTTCCCTCCCTCTTACTCCCTCCCTCGGGCACTCTCTATTTCTCTTTCCCACTCTCTCTCTTTGTCTCTCTTTCCGTCGTTTTTGCAACGTAGCCTAACCCTTCACTCACCGTTACCGTCACCGTATCGGCTCGATATCGTCAGGGTCATTAGTCGAAGGTTAACAGTAGAAAACGAAAGAAAGCGTAACGATGAATATACCTCCTGCTCCTGTAAACCGTCCATGATCTCTTCGAGGTCCGCTTCGCTCTTGATTCGAGCACCCACCCTGTTGAAGCGCTCTTTGTCCTCCCTCTGCTTTCTTAGCTCGGGGAATACCTTCTCGAAGAATTCACGGTTCTTACTCTCCTTGGACTTTCTCTTTTGCGTGGCCTCGAGTCGCTCCACCTTGCGGTGCCACTCCTGCACGAGGATGGCATAGATCTGGGACTGTTGTCGATGGAGGGACGCGCGTTCGGCATGTTCCCGACGAAGCCTCGCGACCAGCCTGGCTCTCGTGCAATTCTGGTGCCTCGTACGGTTCTCCTGGTACACGCTCGTATCCGATGGTTGGTTGTACAACGGTAGCTCCACCTTCGGTCCTAGCCTGTCGAGCAGCCGATGCGCTTCTTCTGCCTTTTTCTAAAAAACATATGTATAGTGCATCTTTTTATCATAATTGCCTCCATCAATTTTACTCTATTAATTTTAGCTATCGTCGATTAGCAGAAATCAATTTTGATTGCAATAACGCGTAACTGAATCAAGCAGCTCGAAGGCTTTTGTTTTCAGGTGGAATCCGAATCTACACTTTGTTCTTACCCTGTTCTCTGCATAGATCTTCTGTGCGAGTGACTGATGTTTCGGCTGATGAGACTGTTCTTCCACTTGGCGCTTAAGACCGGCAGCTTCCAGGGGCTTGCTGGCTGCCTCCTCCAGCTCCTTGAGCTTCTTTCTAAGTTTGATGATCTGTGTCTCCCTTTTGGCGATTTCACGGTCGACCTTCGCGATCTGCTGGAGGAGATCATCCTTCGTGCTGCGAAACTGCGCGTCTTCCTGCGTCGTAGGTTCCGGAAGTGTGGGCGAAATCGCTTCGGTTTGCGGCGTGTACGCCCCTGCCGATGGCTGCTCCTAGCAAAAGATCTCCATAAAGCACTGTCTTAAATCGATACCGAGCATCCTGTTTACGCGGAAGACATCCGCCAAAGAGCATGTCAATCGGGATGAATTTCACTTTTCAATTTTAAGGAAACACGTAGGCGACGTTTCAAACGGCATAGCGAATAAGACAAGTGCCTCTTACTACTTTTTCGGATACCAAAGTGGTTAGAATTAAAAAAAAAAAAGAACTGACATCTTGTTAAAGATAAAAGAAAGATAATCGGCACACGTTCAAATCCTTAAAGGAAAATGACCGTTCCCGAACGAGAATTCATCTCGAGTATTTCGGTTTCTTTTCCCCCTGATCATTCCTCTTGCCAATTGCCAAACTATGCTAACGAGGTTCGCAGAAACTCGGACTCTAAGGCTGTCCATCCAAGCTCCTTTCCCGTGCCAAATTCTCCTCCTTCGCTGAATTCTATTAAGACTCAGGCCTGAAGAGCCGACACGGCAACTCTTATGGCGCGATCAAACACGCCGAAGCAAGATGGAACTCGCCGACTCAATAAGAACAATTCAACGAAGCTACCCTGCTACGAAAGTCTGGTCGCCCTTCACAGAAATGACTTTGAGTCATCATCACATGGCGAAGCGACCAGACATACGTTCGTTAACAGGAACTATATCCTCAATTACAACTTTTGACGCGATTACAGAAAACTTACGTCAAAAATGATCGCAGGCTTGTTCATAAACTAAGTTAAAAATAATATCACAGTCCCCACCCAACCTAAGATATAACTAATTTCCATTGCCTGGTAATCACTAAAATCAACGAAAAAATATTTCTAGACCTAAGAAGTTAAACTCGCCTTTGCTCTAGGTCTAAAAATAGCATCGCCAACGTGGCGCTAAATCTCAAACATTCCTTGCGCAAATTCAAGGGTATCTACAAATAAACTCGCCCCACGAAAACGTCCAAGTACATCTTCGATCCCCAAACATTAACGTCATTCTTCCCATAACGCTCCATGGACAAAATGGCTACCAATCGCAACGAGGAGCCCCCATACAAAGCGAAGACCGTTTCAATTCTATCCGTGCACGCTTTAATTCTATCACTTCTGCCGTCACCCGACAGGGGATTGAATGGGCAAGAACTAAAAAAACAGCTTCAAAGCGGGACTCCCTGCAAAGAGGTCCCGTCGCCTGCGGGAACACCCACCCTGGTGTCTATTCTGAGAGGCTGCTGCAGCTGCACGTGCTCCTGCTTGACGCAGCCATCGGTGGCTGCCAGAGTTTGGCACTGCGACTGCGACTGGGGTTGGCTCAGGCGAATCTTCTTAAAGGGGGGCACCTCTTGGAGGGTGGCCACGTCGACGGTTCGGTTGCAGTACTGATCGGTCTGCATGGGCATAAGGTTGCGGGGGTTCCTGGTGACGGACACGTGGTACTCGGTGCTCGAGGGCACGCTCGCTACCGAGGAGGGCGGCAGAAGCGATATCCTCGGTCGGTCACCCCTGCCGCTGCTTACCGCATATTCCCCAGCCCCGGCACCGACTCCTACCCCGACGACCACCCCCACGCCCACCTGCGACGCCGGACTGCTGCTCACGCTGATGGCGACCCTTTCGTTCACCTGAAACATTCGTGAATCTTACTCGGTTGCCTTTTCCTAACCTCCAGATTTCATTAAATCACTCATTTTACATTTCTTAATATCGATATCAACTGTACAATGCTAAGGAAATATATACAAGACTTTAACTAAATAGTTAACAATTTAGAAAAAGGGATTCGTGAATTGAAATATAGCCCGTATAGCGGTAAAGGTTCCGCGAGGCAGTCGTCATGAATCGCAGGTCCACGATTACTTTAGTGGAGTTTATTATTATTTACACATCCAAATCGTTGGTTTTCAGACAAAAGGCGAGAAATGTTATTAAAAAAATGAGGAGTACTTTCATTACCAAAGTAGCCGTGTGACTCTAGGCGATCTCCCAGATTGAGTACTATCCACTGCGTTCGGTGTTTGGATAGGTTACCGTGAGGTAAGCTTCCTGGAGCTCCCGAAATATGCTCAAGGATTTTAGAAGACCTTGCCGATATAAATGAAACCGTGATCGGGCAAGCCTAATCTCAGGTGCTAATATTGTGAATAAATATCTTCACTCGAATGATTCAGGGCTTAAATGTCATGCCGGTACGTAGGCTGCGATGAAATGTGAAAAGGCGTCTTAATTATGCAGCGTAATATTCTAAACTAGAGAAGGCCAACATCCCTGCAATGATCTCAGGAATGCTCATCCAGTAACCTGTAACAATACCGACCTAACCATCCCCCATTTGAGGTAATTTCCTTGTACCTACTATATCTCTCCTTTTTATCCTGTAACACGCGGTTGGTATTTAACATGGGGAAAACGGCAGAGAGAACGCAAGGGAGTCCTTCTTTATCCACCGCACCCTTCTTTATCGACGTCGTCGCTTCGTCGGAAAGGACCTTGACATTCCCTGGAGTTCCTCGCACGCGGTCCTGGATTGGACCAACTAGTGTTGACGGGGCGATGCGAATTAATTGGCCTTAAAAAGAGCAAGCGAATGCGAGAAATGAGAGTGGTGACAAGAAAGAGACGCGTTACCCGACAAAGGAGGAACATCAAGTAACAAGACCGAGCGAGCAACGCGCTCGGTTCCTCTCGGGAGGGTTCGGGTCATCTCGGGTCGACCCGGCCGCGCGGGAGGGGCGGGAGGTCTGGGACGCTAAGCCGCGAGCGCGACCCGGGTTTTCCCGGGATGCGAGGGAGAAGGTGGGGCAGAGACGGCCTCGCCGCGAGTGGATGAGGACAACTTTCACCACCCACTCGACTATCACGGTCGGTGTAACATTACGGCTATTAGATGCGGTTCACTGTTACAGATCGAACTTTTTAAAGTGGATTCCGGAAAACACGGGGTAAGCGTGTTGTTCCAGGAAAGCGACGAAACGCTATGCGAATGCCCAGAGGGTTACTACGATACCTTCTGAGAATCTTACGGTCCCGAAGAAAGCGCCACATACGGTGAACGACTCCGACGAGAACTACTGACTGTTGGTGGCGTTTACCGTTCATGCGAAACGGTAAACAAGTCGTCAATATATGAAATTATTGAACTGTTCTATACATATTCCGCGGTTCTTTTGATATTGGGATATGCATTTGATGTTTAGATTACACATTCCGATCGGAATTTCTGGCGTGTGAGAATTTGACTAGAACTCGACCGTTAGTCGAAGAAATGATTTCACTTATCCCAAACCAATTTCGTAAAGTTGAACTCGAGGTTTGTCTATTTTAATACTAACCTAATTAGCTAAATCATTGAGGATTATGAACTTGTCTGACCCGCAACCGCGACTCTTAATAATTTCAAGAATGCAAGAAATAAAACTTGACCACAGAGAACGTGAATATAAAGAAGATACGTTAAAACATAAGCTACCTAATGTACCGAATCTTTCCAGAACGTTATGCCCGCTCAAAAGAAGTTACGATAAAAAGACAATTCCTCGTGCAAGATTTCACACAGGACGAACCCTTTAAAGTAAAATTGGATTAAGCCAGAGGTGTTTATCAAGTAATACCCACATTGCTGGTAACGTTTCGATAGGCGTCCCTGACGTAGGCTGCGGCGGCCCCCGTCGAGGGTGGCGTCTGGTTAACGGGAGCCGAAGGTGCCGACGGCGGGGGTGGCGGGTATGGATGGACGTATCGCAGACCCCCAGGTACAGGGACGGCGACGTAACCACCCCCAGTGGCTGCGCTTCCCCCCGTGGCGCCGGCGCCGGAGCCGCCTCCTGGCGGCCCCACTGCTCCCGCAGCCCCCACTGCCCCCGATCCTCCTGCCGGCCCTCCTGGACCTACTGCCCCGCCGCTGGAAGGGGCCCCGGAACTCCCGGAGCCCCCCGAGATAAAGGTGCCACCCACTGTCCGAGGCGACGCGGGACTGCTACTCTTGATGTTGATGTAGCTCTGAGTTGGCCTACGACAGATACAGAACCTTCAATTTAAACTCCCTGTTAATCCCATAATAAAACATGAACACCAAACCGAGCGCCTGACCTTACACCATCAGCTATTGGCTGTCATGCATTAGGTTCCCGTCCGTCAATAATAAAAACACCGTATCGTGTACGTTACATTAATACACATATAAGAGGGTTCAGTGGCCCGGAATTGTTCGTAGTCAGTATCTAGAAATAATGTACAAATAAAAACCGCATAATAAAGGTAGACTCGATCAAAAGCAGTTCGGTAATTCATCTCAATTTCTCCAGAATGTAGTTTTTAATTAGGGTGTTTTTAGAAATGAGCCTTTTTGGGAAATAGCTGGAATTTCTAGATGAAGAAAGAATTTTTAAATTAATGACTCGTGCACAAATATCTCTTTGATTGTACATATGAGGTGTTCCAGCCAGCCAATTTATTCTGTTCAATGTTCTACAGGCTGTCACATCGTGTCGCACTGGAACGAGCCTAAAATAAGTTTTGGATAGCCCCATCCAATACGTCAGAATACTCTAGGGTATGTCACGGCCGTGGTCGTTTGTTCGACCCTCCCTCTTCACGGTATCCAGCCGTGTCGATTGACAGCCATGGAAACTGCATTTAACTGACCCGACCCGGTAAACTTTAAGCCTGGTTCCTCGTCTGAATATAGACGTATAAGTCACCGGTCGAGCCAACATTTCCGTGTAATCGTGCAAGCTCGTAAGACACGCGGGTCACGTTTTAGTCGTACAGAAAACATGCTGACACCTAAATAAAACGTTGACTCGACTTATCGCGTGTCAAGTTTTGAATAGGAACTCGTTGACTTCTCGGATGTCAATAACGATTAACGCAGAGATGCTTAATGGGTAGCCACGTCTTCGCGAACGCCTCAAACGGACTGATTCTTTTGATCGATCCGAACGATCCTCGCACTTTGGCCCTGGTCATGGTACATACAATATTCGTATAGTGATTTTCCTATATTACTCTACAAAGCTTACGTCCCGGTTTTTTTATTTTTCATAACTAGAGAGGTTTAACGGGATTTCAATGTCCATAAGAATCAAAGCACGAATTTTTTAACGACAACTATAAATGTCTCACAATTGGAACACTTGTTCTGCATAGAAAGTTGCAGATATCTGAAGTATTCCCTGCCCAGCATAGACGTAGATACGGAACTTTATATATTCACGAATGGTCTCTTTTCATGAGCCAAGAATAACTTTATATCGGACTGAGATAAATCGGCCGTGATTTTGTTTAAATTGTCCATTTAATGCGAATAATTTAACACAGAAGTAAAAACCTATTTCGCGATAAACAACGAATACGTAGACAAATATTACAACATATACCCTTGTACAAAAATCACGGTATGTACAGAAAAGCGATGTACAGAATTTTAATTAAACCTAAAAAAGTAGAAGCTAGTGACGCGCATTCTAACCGAAGGTCGTAGCGGACAGCAATGAATTCGCGTAGCACAACGCGTAACAAAAGGTGCGCTTTATCAACGGTGGTAGAAGACCCTGTTTCCGGGTCCACGAGAAGAATCGGAGCAGACGCGAGCACGCATGCGTCGGATAAGTAAGCCACGTGCGCACATGCGCTCACAAAATCAGCTTCGAGCTCAATCCCCCGGATCCAGCAAAGTGAGATCCAAAGGAAGGAGCTCATCATGTTTTGAGTCAGCGAACAATGGTGGGGAGCGCATCTCCCCGCTCCTCGCTGGCCAATTGCCTTCCTGAATTCGTCTCCATCTCCAATATAGCGTCCCCATTGGTTGAACGGGGAACGCAACATGGCGGCGCGTCGCACGTGGTCCCGCTCCGAGCATGCGCGGGCGCGCGCCGTGCCGGGGCGTGAGCCCACGTCGCGACTGATCTCCCATTTCGAGCGCAGAAGGCACTGCGCCTCGACGCGGCGTTGCCAGATCGTTGCCGCGCCGGCGCGCTCCGCTGCCGCGTCCATCCGGACTGCAACGCCCGAGTCATTGTCATCGCGCTACCGGTATACAGTGCAACTCCGTGCGCGTCATCGATACTCGTCCATGGCACAATTGAGAAAAGCACCGAGCGGTCGCTTCGAGACAGAGAAATAGAAGGGGAGACTGGCCTTGTCCAATATTCGTTAACTCCCCGGTGAGAATTAATCTAAACAGTGAGTCGATGTACTGTGATGTGGGCGATTCCGTATAAGCGTTCCAGTCGATCCGCTATTTTTAAGAGTCAACGCGGCAACCCTGGTCAGGACGAAAAAGAGCGTCGGAAAGGTCGAGCCACCCGACCGTTTAACGCGAATGAAAAAAATGACGGGTGATTCTGTCCGCATTTATACCGAAAGTATGTTCATAACTGAACTACGACAGTGGTACATGAACAAAATTAAATCCTGAAATAAATCAACATTTCATGTCGCTGACTCGCCCGCCAGTACCTTCTGTTCATTTTAACTACCGAACCATTTCGTACAACGGTTATCAACTACAGTGCGTAACCATATTGCGCTCGATCGATAAACATCTCACGCCACGTCAACGTAGCTGCGGCATTCATTAAAACGAAACCGTTTAGCTTGCTCCTTTTTCAGATTTTAATATGCGCTATGACCGCCTATTTTCATGAATTACAGTAATCGAAATTGGTATAAATTCCAACGTCAACGTGTCATATGCGCCACTTGACGCGATTCATAGGTTTAACAAGGCTGGCATAATGAAGAGATATCGTTCGACTGTTATAACAGACGGTAGAAGGTAGGTTATAGCCAAACTCAGAGAAAACGACTTGACCGGCCCTCAGGAGCCGGAGTATCAGCGGAATGGTCGTTACCCGGTCAACCGAGAAAGCCTCCCTGTCAACTCCACCGTACGTCGCTCCATCACCATCAAGAATCACCGAATCACCGGTTGGCCGGCGACGGCTCCCTTGCGTATGGGCCGTGGATGACGTAACGGTCACTGACCCCTCCCACTTCTCGCGAGTACTCCTCGTTTCTCCTGCGGCGGTGCTCCCGCCGCCTCGCGCGAAGGTGATCTTGTACACTAGCGCAAATTGCCGCGCATGCGAAACGCGCGAGCGTGTTTACCGAGGGAGAACGAGCGAAAGCGAGAAAGAAAGACCTAGGCGGAAGGGGAAACAGCGGGACCGAAAGAAACCGGGGGAAGGGAGGAAGAACGGCGACGCACGAAGGGTGCCGTTGCCACGGACGTTGTTGAACGCATACGAGCAGAGACAGACTGTTACTCCATTCGGTATTAATCAACGCACCCGTGGGTGACAAAAGTAACGCCAATGACCAGTCGTTATGCGAGGTCATGGCGAGGGACGAGAATACGCGTGAAAAGATTTGCAAGCTCGGTTTTCGGTATTTTAGGATCAATGGTAAGCAACATCCACCTTGGTATTGAACTTGCATATCCGAGTCTTGGTCTTGCTCAGTCGAGTATTGCACAGTCCAGTCTTGGTCTTTAACTAATTGCAAGATCAAGACTGTCAATACGTAGCAAAGTTCTAACCCGACATACGCCTACTTTTTACACAGAACCTTTAGGTTTGGGGTGTGAAGCATTCGCGAACGAGAACGAACGCGGTTGAATTGTTTCCAAGGCAACCATTGGCGTTGTCACGCGTTCGCCCCAGGAGCGGTCCATCAAAGAGATGCGCGTTCGACCCGTTCGAACGGCATCGAATTCGAAAATGAAACAGGGTAGACGATCGTCACATATGCAAACGCCTCCAAATTGCTCCCAGCGCTACACCCCAACGGTAGCAGGTGCGACGTTGGCATTTGTTCGCGTTAAAACTTTGTTCTGTACGGGCCTTAATGCGCAAATGCGTAAATCTACGGGCAAGTATACGGCGCTCCAACTCTATTGACAAAGATTGACCTTGTAATCATGGAAAGATCAAAAAGGAGTTTTTATCAGACATCGGACCGCCAATTTTCCGAATGCCGCTTCGCTTTAACAGTCTATTTTCCCGCTACGCGGGTGTGTTCTGCTGCGCAATACGTAAGTAATCTAGAAACCTTTGATAGTACAACAGTGGGAGGTTATCGCTGTAAGCGTAACGAAAATAGGTAGCGACGCCTGTCTGGGCGATCCACGGGATACCATTGCGAAAAAAATCCGCCGAGAAAAGAATTTTAAATGAAGCATTTGCCACGAAATACGAGACGTCGATTCTCCTCGATAATACCGGGTCCCGGTTAAACCCGGAGTTATCGGGAGTACTATTGACCGGAATCAATATGAAAAGGTACCGTCGCAATATTTATTTTTTATACGTCGTTCCAGGGTCCGTAGTGCAAGAGCCAGACCGCAATACGGAGCTTTGAGAAACGTCGTTTACGCCATTGGGAGATCAAATTTACGTATACGTATAAGGAAACACGGGAATGGGATGAATCAAGGATTCCCTGGAATCAGAATTGTCGAGTTCAATGACGCAATGGGAAAGGCGTAAGGCACGAAGTTAAAAATATATTCTAGAAGGTTGGATGTATTCGGAGGCGCTCTATCCCGGCACCGTTAGGATCGTCGTATCTCCCGACCCACGAGAGCAGATAAAGATGAAACGATACTGACGTCACTCTCTCAGCGCATCTGAGAACCGCGTTTGTGCTCGCACGCGTTGCTTGTTCCTTCTGTAAGCCCACGGCAAACGGTACGTTAGACTGATGTAGAGTACCGTAAACTATCCCTTTTGCCGCCACTCCTAATTGTTGAGCATACGCTCCTTTGTACATCTAGTTTCTATTAGACCTCCTTATACATTAATGCGTGAGAAAGTCCGGAGCCGAGAAAAGCACGGTATTTGCGAGAGATCCATGGCCGATATGGAATTCAAAAAATTCCAACCGAGCCCAAGTACGTGTGCATATGTAGGGGTATCCCTAAAGGGCCAGTGTGTGTACCTAGAAAAAATTGCGCATCGGTCCCACTTCACCATCATGACTAGACTGCAGCAAGAGCACCATTTTGGTTCAGGGGTAGGCTGTCAAACATTTTTTTTCGAAAATTCAAATTTTTAATGTGTCAGGGTAATTCTTAGATGCTCCCAAGTCATGTGACAAAGTTTCGAATAGTTCGGTCTAATTCCCTTTAAAAAAATGTCTTATTCGAATCGACTGATTTGGGAGGGGTTTCATTTCATCTTAACACGTCCCGTGCCAAGTCGTGTACCAGCCGAATTTAACGTGTACTATCGGTTGTACACGTGGCTCTCAACGTGTTAAATGATAGTGCGCAGTTTTTCGTGCCGTATGGCATAATGCGATCCTGGTGCCAGAATGGCCGCGAGCCCCTGTGCACAGAAAACAATCGACATTTTCCTCGCCTCATTGAGCGAATGACCAACCGTGACGAGCGACAAAAATTTTAGATTACGCGCCTGTTCTCCTTCGAGGTGTTTTCCTAGCCATAGCTAACGGAGTGTCGACCACCGATATTGCGTCATCCTCTTGGCTTTTCGTATAATCGAAGGTAGGAGTTATTTTGGCAGGGATTGCGAAGATTTAAGGTTTTGCGCGAAGGGAAATGAACCGTAGTTCTTTATGTCGTTGCTGTTTTGAATTCGAATTGACTCTAACGCTCCTGTTTACCGTTGTCTAGTATGACTTCGTTTCGGGCCCTAACTCGAACTCGGTAATGCAACCGCCACTGTTTCCGAGCGAAACCTCGGTATCGCAAAACCTCATTGGTCGATTTAACGGTAGACCGGAAACGAGGGATCACTAGAAGACATTCCGCGCGTAATGCCGCGGGCACCAACGCTTCTTTCCAACGTATTTTCCAGAGACCGATGATTAACGACAAAAAAAAAAAAGGATACATTAGAGCAGGTGGAATTTCACGGAATTGCCACACTTTTTGACGAGTTTCATCCGCTACCCCGGCGGCAAGATCTCGACTCGACGATTGTTCGTACCTCGTGCAGCGAACCGTTTCAGAACATGCGCTTCATTTCCTTCGACCGTCTAGCTCGAAAAACGTCGGTTCGGGCAGAAAAAACGCTTTTCGCGAGACCCGACAAAAACAATCGTTTGCCACCGTCTCGGCGTCCTTCGGCGTCCGTCGGAGAAATGAATAGGAAAGTACCATCAAAGTTGCCGTACCTCGTGTTCCTCCCCTCTCCTCCCTCGTTCGCTCCCTTCCGCTTCAGAGACGCACGCATCTTTCTCGTCCTCTCCCCCCCCCCCCTCCCTTGCCACCCTACGCGAAAACACTTGTAAGCGACATCGTGCGAAGGGAAGACCGATCTTGTCCGTCTACCATCTTTGTCCCCTCTGGCTTTCTCCTCGAAACAACTCCCCCCTTCTGCACGGTTCGCCAGTGCGGCCTGCCCTCCGCGCGTCCTTTCTTCCCGCCCCGAGGGAGTCGGCGTGGCTCTCCTTTTGTCCAACCTAACCTATCGCGATGCCCCTTGGCCCGCCCGGACGGAACGAGACCGGCCACGCACCTTTAACTCCTCTGCGATTCTCTCTCCGGGGCACCCGCATCCATCTCGTATCCACGAGTCCGGAACTTCCCAGAAAACTAGAATGTCTCTCTTTCCAACGGCACGCCGTCCGGTAATTCGTTTTCGCGCGCGCGACCAGAGATGGCAGCACGTTTCGGCGATCCAAGTAACTTATCGTAGCGAGGCAAGTGCTTCTCTCGACGTCTACCCGACGGTCTTCAAGGTCGAGAGGAAAAACGTTGAGCCGTTAAGTTATCGCACCCTAGGAGGATCCACATGTGGATACCCGATGAGGAGAACCGTTATTCGAGATTTAGCAATAACGAGCGATCTCTATAGCCTAATTCACTGCTCACATCTGGTACATGACACGACGGCAACCTTGAGGACGGCCGTACACCCACTTTTGTCGTGATTCGGTTTCGTTGATCTAGCTCTTACTAATTGGACGAGTTCAATTAACGCTCCGCTTGTTAGTTATCTTGAAAGGGCATTTTATCGCGGTTGGATTAACTGCGATACGCGAGGAATGACATAAGAAATAAGATCCAGGAAAAAAATCGTCGAATTAACGTTGAAAAAAAGTGTTCATTTATGCTAAACAAAGGGAAGATTCAATGTAAGATTTTTATCCGCGATCGAAGCAGTCGCGATCGTCGTCGAAAATCCCACCTGAACGAGTCGAAGTCGGTCGTACTTACTTCATCGTTCGGGCGGGTACCACGTCCGCAGCTTGCAACCCCGATTCTCGAAGGAAGGGTTTTCGCTGGCGTTACAGCCGCTTTGTCGGCGGTGAGAGCTCATCGCGGGTGAACTCGGGCTCTGTGCGTCGTCCGAAAACGACTTTTACGGAACTTTCGAGGTTAAAGATCGCGCACGTTGACGTTTGAGGTTAGAATCGACAGGTAGCAGTAGCGCTGAGGAGCGAGCGTGGTGCGCATGCGCGGACTCGTGGCCGACCGCTGCGCGTGCCGCGCAGCGCGACCCGACGCACCGCTCGCAGCGCCACGCCGCCCGAATCGGCCATCGGGCAGAGTCAAACCGAAGCGCGCGCAATCTTGAATTCTCGAACGCGCCCGCACGAGGAGCGCATAGTTTTGCAAAATCGCTTTCGAAAATGGCCACCGACCTACAAGTATTTACATAAATCGTTTCGATTATTCTTTTTCTAGACGCCAGGAATTCGCAATGCCGAGGCGGTCACAGTATCTTCATCGACGATTGGAAAACGTTCGAATGGACGTTACCGAACGTTATGAAATAACGGATTTCTTATCCTCAAAATAGCTACACAACCTGACTCAGAGAGTGCGCGTCAGGAAGAATTAATACTACAGAGTAAGAAATTAGTTCTTAAAGTATGAATTTTTATTTCATTAGAATCAAAAGCGGAAACAACCTCTTTGGGTTGGTCAGCGGAATTTCAGTATATTTCCGTGGAAATGAATAACCATCCATGAGTCAACTGAGTTTCACGAAATTTCTAGGTTGTTGATTTCGAGGTACGTTAGACGCCGTGACAAGTGTCTGTCTGGACAATTGACCGTTCCCGGCACCCCTTCCCAGAGGGACCCGTGTGTACATTGGAGAGCGACGACTAAGGACGGAAGGGGCGAGGAGGAAAACAAAACGACCACCTTGAGCAGCCGCGCCGGCCGCCGCGTGGCCGTGTTTCCAAAACATTTCCCACATCCGACGTCGATGGACAACGGAAAGGACGAGCTTTTCCGACGGACTGTATCGGCACTTGGGGGAATCGGCGGTCTCAAAGGTCACGCGAACTCGGAACGGCGATGCAGGTCACAGGACTTGCTACCAAATTTCAATTACAGTTGCTCACCACTACTGTAGGTATAACTTTACATATCACAGAATGTAGAGAACCGTTCCAGCAATAGCTCTACAACGTTACTGGGTTACTGCGGCATTAACGTAATATCCCTCGTTTCTCAATAGTTTTAACTCATTTCGTTTTAAAGCTTGTAAAGAATAAATGTTTATATATAATTGGCACAGTGTATTTTAAATGTCTTTTTGTTGTTTGCAAATGGAATTTAAATTATTGGAAACACCTTAGTGCATGACCCGTACGACAATTTAATTAATGGAAAGAAATTAGGAATAAAGTTTCGAGATTAAAATATCGAGTACGATATAGAGTGGTGTCTAAGATTAACATTGAGCGCGCACAGAGAAAAAAATGTTACTGAACCAAAAAAATATTTCTTTCAATAGTACCAAAGCAATATTTTTTTAATTCAAAGAATAATTTTGTATTGTTAATAATTAATAATTTAATTGAACTCAAATAAACTCGAATAAATTGGATGCAACAATTCCTCGGATTTATAACAATTTATTAGTTTATTGGGGTAAATGAATTATTCTTTGAATTAACATAATATTTCTTTGGTACTATTCAACGAAATATTGTTTTGTTTAAATGAATTTTTTTCTCAGTGCGGCGTGTTTTTAATAGCGAAAAGAATCGAGAAAAGGTTTATTATATTTATTATTTTATCTAAAAATTAAACTCTTGTAATTAAGACATTACTGTGCTGATTTCACATAAGATTTTATTTAATATGTAGGATAATCATTCCTCCTTTGTGGGTATGAAACCAGTTTAAAATTAGTGCTCCTATGGCTCACAGTTCTAAAAGTACCACGCTCCACGAAGCCCCACTTTATCCGTGCACGTTAAATCTTCCGCGATTTCGATCCGACGGCATGAAAATTTACATTTCGGTGATACGAGTTGCGCTAGACGATACACATTGGAGCCCTTAGAAGCGATAAAGTACCGAGGTAAAATTACAGCGATTTCTCTTCGATGCATCCACTCGCATATCAAGCTTTGAAACATACTGTCACGCTTGTGGATGGTACTGAGAATATCACCTTTTCATGCGTCTTACTACCTCTTTATTCCTGCTATCTCCCTTTTATGATTGAAGAAACAGAAAATGTGGAAAAATAACATACTTTTTCTCGAGTAAAGTACGATTCGAATGCACCGCTTATAATTGATTCAACCCATCTAATAACCGTAAATTATCATAACGTTTACTGTATTTGAAGTATCTACTCTGATTTCAATGTGGATTTCATATGATCTGAGTGGACATACCTTGTGCTGTGTTAATAATTGCTTTTAATTCAATTTAATTCGACGTACTATACTATCTTGCCATCTTTATCGTGATATATGGAAAAATTTGCTGATCGTAGAGTTCAAGGTACAACACTGCGTCAGCATCCTTATTCTTCCGTGTAATAAAATTACTGTGCATGGAAAATATTACAAAATGAAACACGAAATATACCACACAGAGAAATGTTATCCCACAACTGATAAGTATTATCTTTGATTCGTCAATATCAGCCTGTAAATATAACCATCACCTGTAGATTCACGATGTCGAAAAGCACTCTTAATTTCCGTATTCTCCTCGTGTACTTTTTTATAGTTCCTAAATTCTATTTCATCCTATTCTTCCGATGTTTCTATGTAGTTGAATCAAATACACAATTTTTGTTTATTTATTCCCCTACGGAGTTTTATTATACCAATGCGTTAGAATGAGTAACTATAATGGTTCTGAACCATCTTACATATTTTGACTACCTATATTTTCAGATTGGAATGTCGCACGGGATTGCACTGTTATTTTATTTTAGATATTGTTTATTCGCTGTTCAGCAAAGTTGGCAGGACGTCACAAAGGGGTTATTATCGTCTAGAAATTTCAAAAATTCGATTTTTTCTTTTTTTGCATTTTCTTATAGTTTGGGGATCTGGGATGTGACTCGAAAATATTAATTTGAAATTCGTAGAACTCCCATAGTTACAGAGGCTTAAAGGGTGCAGTGCGTTGGGGCGCGACAGGTAGTCATCCCCTCGACCGTTGTACCTAGACCATTGTATCCATTGTATACCGGCTTAGAGAATTTCCCTATCCCTTGCCCTCCTTGCAGTACCCAAGGTACCCTTACAAATAGTCAGTATACCTTTGAGTTCTGAACGAAGTAGATGTGCGTATTTCAAAAATGGATCGAAAAGGCAAGCGAGGCGGTCGTGCACGTAAGCCGATACCAAAAAAAAAGAAAATTTCAAGGAAATCGATACAGTTTCGAAGCTGATACTGAGCATACAAGTACGTCAGCGAAAAAATTGAAAGGTACTGGAGACGACGACTTTTCTATAAACAAAGAACACGGTTATAGTATTCTCAACTTCTTCTCTGTCTTCTTAGCTATCAGTGAACTTGTCACGTGTAAGACGTGTAAAGAAGATGTAACTTTTAGTGAAGCTAGTCCTCGTGGATTGGGCTTCAAAGTAGCAGTAAAGTGCAATTGTGGTGTAAATTATATAAACTCATGTTCCCTGATTGATAAAGCTTTTGAAATAAACCGTCGGATAGTTTTTGCCATGCGACTTTTAGGCATTGATATGAAAGGCGATTCCTTTCGCTCTATTTTGTGGGATAATGGATATTTGTCAAGGACTTAGTCCAAATACATATTATGTATGTCTGGAAAATATCTATAACGCGACTCAAGGAGTCTATGACATCGTAACGAAAAAAGCAGCCGAGGAAGAGGAGGAAGAAAACGCTAAGCGAGGTAATCCTCCGTCGGAATTGAATGTGTCCAGGGACGGAACGTGGAAAAAAAGGCTTCTCTTCGCTGTTTGGCATCACTACGCTCATTGGAATATACTCCAATAAAGTCATTGACACAGTAGTGAAATCAAGTTTTTGCCAATCGTGCAATGTATGGAAAAGTAAGTCTGGCACAGTGGAATATGAAACTTGGAAGAGTAATGACGATGATGTATGCACAATAAATCATAGCGGTTCTGCTGGTAAAATGGAAGTGGATGCGGTGAAGGAAATGTTCTTGCGATAGATCGAAAAATTCCAAGTCAAATATAGAAGATATGTAGGAGATAGGGATAATAAAATCTACAAAGTTCTTGTAGATGGTATGGTATATGGTAAAATCTTTATCGTTGAAAAAAAAGAATGCGTAGGCCATGTACAAAACCGTATGGGGATGAGATTACGCAATACGAAGAAAAAGAACAAGGGCATCGATGGGAATGAATCTGGAAAATTGACAGATAAAGTCATCAATGAATTTACTACGTATTACGACTTAGCAATACGCAGAAATGCAGGTTCAGTACCAGAAATGAAGAAAGCTATATGGGCCACATTTGACCATAAACGATCGACCAATAGTGATCCACATCATGAAGGTTGCCCTGAAGGCCCCGAGAGCTGGTACACATGGCGTAGAGCAGAAGCAGCAGGAACATTGAATAGTTTCACACATGATAAACCACCACTGAGCGATGCAGTTTTGGAGGTCATCAGGCACATTTATGAGGACTTGACATCAAACAATTTATTGGAGCAATGTCTCGGAGCTTTTCCACAAAACAACACCGAAAGCTTGAACTAAACTATCTGGATGTTTGCCCCAAAACATTTGCACTGTGGCAAAAACACCATAGATATTGCTAATTATTTAGCTGTCGTCCTTTTTAATGAAGGATTTAAGCAAATCCTAAAAATTATGGATGTATTGGGAATCAAAATCGGCCCTAACGCAAATCAATACGCAGAGTGTAGGGACAACGAACGTATACATCGGTCCAACAGACGGGCGTCTACCGCATCTAAAGAGGCGCGGACCGCCAATAGAGAAGCGAGTGCAGCTCAATATTATTTTTTTTTAAGCTGAGGAAGGTGGTTTGTATGGTCCCGGTATAGCTGATTAATTAAGGGTAAGTTACTCAAATCATTTGTTATCCACCGTACGTTCAGCCGTATCAGTGCTAAATGTATGACAAACTTTAAACGCATTTTTCTCGAAACGACATTTTTCAAGTCGGGCACACGTTTTTCTCAAAAACTATTGGACCGATTGATTTCGGGTTTTGCACACATTTCGACGGAACCTTCATCTATAGTCTGAACTAGAATGATACCGATAGCTTGAATATTTTACCCCCGCTCTCATGTTTTAGTTGACAATTTTCCGGGAAAATGAAACCTTAATTTTCAAAATAGCTGCGATTCCGATAAAAAATGTCGTACTTACTTGGTTCTAGTTCAGACGATAACTACATTCATATAGATTTAAACAAAATTTTGTTCTTCCGTTTCAGACAACTAGAATCGCCGCAACCCGTGTGCCCGATTGGACGAGCGTCTCACATAACGAACTGCATAACTGGGCATAACTTGTATAGATTTCAATAAAGGATTTCATAAAAATTTGTGTTGCTAGTTGAAACGTGTCTTAATATGCGTCAAAAACCCCGGCACTGTCGGTTTGATAGTTTTCGCAAAATTAATTCCTAAAAATTACTTAAAAAACAAGCTTCAAGACAGTAATACCCCCTTAAGGCCACCTCCATCTTCTCGGGATAAAAGCCCGTATCTCGACTCATTGTCGCGAAATCGACTCCATTGCAAATCAATGACCAAGTCTCGGCGTCGACGTTGGCGTCGAGCGTGCGCCTAACACCAAGAGCGACGCGCCTCTGTTGTACACTTCACCCGTACATTCTCAGTGGTGCATTGTTATCGCTTCTTTCAATGAACTAAAATGAGAGCAATGAACGGAAACGTTTTCAATGAATCCGGCATTTTTAGACGATTGTATGCCGTGTCGCGACGCTTCCGGTCATGGCAACATGGTCATCGGATATGCGTCGCGCACCTGCACTCAATACTCCACAAATAAATAGCAAAGATTTGCCGAACTCGAAGTTCTGCGTACTTATTTAAAAATGTTTCAAATTATTTCTTTGGCCTAATTTCGCAAAGTAGACTGGAAACAATTGTGCCGAATTTCGTCACGTTGTTATTCTATCAAAATGTGTTCCAATAAAAATTCCTCTATGTCTAGTCATTAACATGTCATAAGTTATTCTTCAAAACTCTTGCCTAAATGTTGAACTCTCGGTATTTCAGAAAAGCTGTAATGTGTGTTGTTCATTGCGAAATTAAACATTTTCATAGAAACGGCAGCTAAACCATTCATAGCGTGTGCATATAGGCGTAAGCACCATATAACTTCACAATATGAGTATGTTATATTTTTTGAAAGGCATTAAATATGTTGCTGATTTATTATGGCACTCCCAAAAGAAATTATTTCTTTGATTTAAAACCTGTTTTCAGTTCAAGTTCATATTGTCGGGCCGCGGAGAAAGTTTAGCCGGCAATATTTAACGATTTACCGCATTACAAATATTTTTCTACGATAAGCCGAGTATCACATTTACTGTAAAATCATACAATTTACATTCTAAGTGGACACACCCGTTGTGCAAAAATTAAGAAAACGTCTCGCCTATAGTCTAACTGGTTTGAAAAGAGGAATAAAATAGATACTGATACCACCTGTTAGAATGTCTCAGGTGAGTCACAATTATTTATAGGCAAATGAAATGAAACGCCTGTAACACTTTTTTTTTCACCAGAACCATATAGTACCAAATTTGTCATAAATAATTGTCTGTTCTGAAAAATAAATTAGTTATTGATGTTCATCACTGAGAAATCGAAATGTTTTATTTTAATAGCTTGATAAATGCTTTTTCGAAACATGAGAAGTGGACGGACAGTGTTGAAAGGGGAATTCTAAAACATGTGCAAGCTTTTAACATCGAGAAAAACGTCGCTACGGTTAATTTAAGCCGACAGATGAGGCGACTCGAGTCGTAAACTTTGAAAACGGAACACAAAGCAAAGATGTCTAGATTTCGGCATCGGGAAGTTGATTATACAACCATTGCTGTTCGCATTTTGAGCTCTTCGGTACAGGGACTGACTCACTTGATTACTTAACAGGTAGATTTAGTTGATTTTAGACTCATTAAAAGATAGAAATGCTTCATCAAGCATACTTGAGAACGTACAATACGTAAGATCGCTCCCTTACTTGCACATATCTATAAGTAGATACCTGAACTTTCTCTATTCTGCGACATATTCACCGGGGTCATGGACCCGCTGATTGATCTGAACGCGCCGCATTAATGCCAATCAAATCAGAACAAATTAAAAGGATTTCATACAAAGATTAGCAGTAGTCCGTTCGACGAAATATATGAAATGCGAAACTAGAGGGAATAGAAATCTGTATCGTGTTAAAGTCAGGATAAAAGTAAATGTACGTCGCCATGAGCTCCGGATATAACGCAGTTGCTGCCATTTTAATCGTGGCACGGCGTCTGTCTTAATCCGGACCATGACTCGTCACAAAACTGGTGCCAACTGAAAATTTCATCGTGGCTGCTTCATAGGGAAGAGTACTTCTTTCATGTGCATATACAATGTATACAATATGAAACGAAATGTTATTGAATTATCTTACAATTGTTTTTCTTCACAAAAATATAATGCCTTCCGAAGTGCTCGATTTGTCAGTAATTTTTTTTTTAATAATAATTACTGAAAAGTTGCCGTCGCTTAGTGTTGTAATTTTTAGCGACCTGACGCGACGATTTTGAATTAACGTTAACATTTTATAATTCAAGACAGATGACCATTTCTGATTCATTGCCTCGATTACATGCATTTGGATTTGTGATACTGAAGATACGTTGTTCTCATAAGAAAAATAAAAGAAGACACCGGCGCGTGTTATTCCGTTCAAGTATTCAAAAAGTATTGCAATACCATATATATTCATGATATTGCAATCTCAACATCTTCACGTCTCGGATCCGTGCTCATTGTGATTACAGCTTAATTCTTATGCGGCCTCTAAGAGAGTCTTCTTGTTACGCCAATGAAACGATCGAGGATTGTCTCACCAACGTCATTGAGTTAATTCAAATATCACAGACTGGATTCTCAAAGACTAAAACAGATTTCTGCGACCAACTGGCAAATTCGACGAAGCGTTTTATCTGATATCAAATTGCGTAAAAAATGTTATGAAATTAATATTAATAGCAGGTGTTAGTTTAACGTTATTGTAAGACCATACGCCAGTTTCATATCTAAATTAAGTATAAGTTAGTATTTTACGTTTACACAGGTTTCGAGTCGTTTTTTTTCCATTTCGTTGCTCTTCACCCGCAATCATACAGGACGAAGTACAGAAACAATTAAAGTACTCATTTACTCAGGATGAACTCGCACGTCGATTTACGAAGCGACGCTTCCGTGTAACGTATATAATCGTGCAAGGAAATGTTATCAACAAGTAGTTGGCTACAATTACTGCACAATTTACTGACAGAGAAGCATTTAAAGTGGTTAAACTCTACAGCCAGTTCAGGTGTACTATTTTGATACACTGCTAAAGTACAGTAGTTACGGCGTTTTTGTAATTCCTTCTGCAAATAATTGATAGCCGGCGCGGCAGTAAATAGTACAGTTTAGAGTTGTTCCCCATATTATTATCGTTGGGAACATTCAGAAATTCTGCATTCCATGTAATATTTATAGGTGATTTTCTTTCTTGTTCCGATTCGTTTCGTAATAACGGCCGTATCCGTTCGATGAAATCGGTAAACGTTTAACGACCGTCACGCGTTGGTTTCCTCCCCTCCTTACGACTCAGGACGTAAGTGTGTCACTTGTTAGCTGGTTAAATCGTTCGAGCACTTCGCGGTTGCGCGTAGAACCGCTGAAAATCAGTTCTTTTTCAGTCTCTCGAGATCTTTGTCACGAGTAGCGACGACGATCGACAGGCAATCGACTGGCATCGATAACGCACTATTGATGGTATTAAGGACTATCGATATTGTCTCAGCCATTTGAAAGCTATCATATCACGTGCAATTGCGTTATAAAAGCAGGACACGCAATATCAATGTACGACCAATATTCGTTTTAAACACTCGTACACCTTATTCAATAATTGTTAATTATCTATATAAAGTGTGCGATCTCTTAAATTGGGCTCAAAACTTGTTAGTAATATTAAGTTCGCTCCCTTTCCCCTTCATACCAGCATTGCTTATGAGAGATTCGAGTCATAGGTTATGCAGTTCGGATTACGATTGTTTCAAAAAGTCTCTCCAGTCTTTAAAGGTTGTGAACGCATAAGTAATAAGATGCCAATTAACATTTCTCATCTGCATTGAGCATGAAATAGGTTTAAATCAGATCTCAGAATGGTCTGTTACGTCTGCGCAATAATCCATTATACTTCAATGAAATTCCATTCCTTTTATAAACAGAAATTATAATATGCGTTAAGCACGTATAGTTCCTCAAAATCTTCGATAGTCATTACTCCTTTCTAGATTTGATCGTTAAGCACCGGCGAGCTTAAGGCGTTAGACCTAGTTTCGTAATTAAGACGAGCGGCTATAAAGTTTGATAAACAGGGTGGCTGTAACGAAAAGGGTAAAAAGGAAATAAAGAAGTAGAATTCCAACTAACCTGTGCAACTGAAGAGGGGCGGACCTGGCCGGAGGGGGCTGGGTTTGACCTCTGGCGGGGGTCGCCGTTGTTACCAGAGAATGACCGTGGCCCCCGTGGGGGTGGGGGTGGTGATGATGATGCAGATCTCCCCCCACTGGACCCCCCACCCCCAGACCGGTCACTACTGGGACTTGCTTGCCCACTGTCTCCATCACCCCTGGAACATTATGCGCTGCAAAGAAAGAAGAAACCTTAGTTGCGCTTTGCGTTCGCTCTTCCCTTCTTTTTTACAGATCAAATCATCTACGCCGCTTGTTCAATCAAGATCAGATTTTTTTTTTCCAAGAAATCACTGAAATCTACAAGTTTCTAGACTATAAGAATGACGCACTGAGATTTTTTGCCAGCTTGATTGACAAGAAATGAACATTGTTGCGGCATAAGGAAAAATATGGAGATAGAATTTTTTACTTGTAGGTTCCATGAAGGAAGAATATATTGTATTCGATATCGATTTGCACTACATATGATGATTAATTTCATGGTCCTAGTTTTTGCGTGTTAAGACGGTATTACCAAAGGACCACCATCGCTTTACCGTGTAGTATAGTCATATGCGGAAAAGGAGTTTATTTAACGACAAAGAAAGGATGTAATCAAATATATTGGCGCTTCAGGCGGAAACGACATCGTTGTAAGCCCATTTAACGAATAATTTGCCTAATAACAGTAGTCGCCTTAGCATCGGTGCTCTGACGCGAATTTATATTTAGTTTTCTTTAGACGGATTTACTTCCGCTATTCGTGCTTAACACTTCGCAAGCTATTTATTATGCACTTACGTTTGTGTAGTGCGATGTATTCGCTACACATTGTAACGCGATCACATAACAATCGTTATCGCATTGTAAGCCGTTCAAGATAGACATACAGCGAAACTACCAAATCTGACAAAACATGTCATAACCTAAACTTTAATCGTGTTATTTAAACATCAAAAGGATAAATAGGCAAACATTCATTATTTTCATGGTCAAGCTTGTGCAATGGTGCATCCATTTTGCAACAGCCATTATTACTTTAGTAATCACAGTCTATCAATACCAGGGGAGAAATCTCGTAATCCTGGTAGCGGCTTTATTAACTCCTGTTGAAATTAATTAAAAGGACAAGACGTCGATTGATAGGTCAAAAGGATAAAACGCATCATGAAATGTCAAAAGGAAATCCGGCTCGTTTACTTATGTCGTTCGAAAAATCAAGTTTTGCTGTCCTCTATTCCAAGCTTTGTTATACGAATATATTGAATTCAGACACTGGAATGAAATTTCGATTAATTGCTAAACATATTTATTTAATGTCTCAGAAAAATTGTTACTGCTAATAGTATTTAATTTAACGAGAGTTTTAACGTGATTTCAAGTAATCGGACCTGAAATTAAGTTGAGAATAATTTTACATATCACTTTAGAAAATGTACAGAATTATAGATAAAAAGGGGGAATAAAAAATTCACTTATTCATCCCGGTTACATTTGTCAAATTTGCTAATTTTTTCTTCATGTCAAGCGATACAGTGCTGGCCTGGCAACAAAATATCGCTATACATCTGAGGAACTAACGCACTGCTGCACAAGGACAATCGGTAGGATTCCTCCCGCATACGAGTGGACTCTAAACAGCAACGCGTTTCCTTCAATTTGTCGCGTTTCCTTCAATTGTCCTTCAATTTGGTTACATTCTTCCTCTGTTATTTCCCCCATTATGGTGAAGTGAAACCCCCTTCAAATCAGTTGATTCGAATACAACACTTTTTTTAAGGGTATTAGACCAAACTGTCCGAAACTTTGTCACGTGACTCATGATCATCTAAGAATTGTCCTGACACATTCAAGATTTGGATTTTTTAAAAAAATTTTTTAACTTAGCCCAGACCAGCACCAAAATGGCGTCGAGCTCTCATATTTCGATCAATATACAATTATCGAAGGCTCCGATATGAGAAACGAAAGGGTCAGGACAATTTTACGACAATTTAGAACACTCTGGTAATCGATAAACTCGCATTTGAACGGGATAAAGGCAAAAAAAGGGTTTTATGCGCTTCTACGCTAAAACGATAGAAATACGAGGTCTCAGAGTGAAAATTTAATTGACCTGGAAATCACAGATGGCGCAGGGAGTCCCTCTGCAGTCAATTAGGGCCCCAGAAAGCATGAATCCAGAGGGTTTCTAGAGTTTTACTTCGATTTCTTTATAAATATTGTACGAAAACGGCAGGTGGAGCATGCCATTTAGTTCAATACCCAATGTAATTCGACCCAGCTGTCAATATAAAAACTAGCGCCAGCAATGTAGGTATTTAGAAAAATCTTCTTTATCGACGTCGATCAAGTTTGTCGACGTGTTTCACTTCACCTTACAGCAAGCTGAAATAACTCACTTCCCAGTTGTTTGCAAGGCGAATTACCATAGGTATATGCCTTTGTTTAGCTACAACCACGTATACATGGCTATAAAATAATTTCAAGCCTTTCCTCTATGATGTAAAGATTAATTTTCTTTCCCCATTTTGAGTGTTAATTCGAGAGTTAGAGTCCCAAATCGTAACCCCAATGACGCAGGTATCATTTTCTTGGATTAGTCACGCAATCTTTAGTGTCGAGACGATCTCTCGAACGGTGATTAAAGCGAAATCTTTAGAACGCTTAACAGTGATAACGATGTCACTGCGATGATAACGCCTACGACTCGTACGAGGATCGGCTCGCGGGCAAGGGGCGTGTAGCGTTTATTTATAGATGCAGCCATTCCTCGATCGATGAAATCAACCGAGTTAAAAAGATAACAAGAGAAAAAGGAACGAAATAGGAACAAAGCCGCATTTAGGGGCGGTAGCAGGCAAAAATGACTTCTTCGCAAGAAGCCGCAAAGTATGCAAATTTTAATTTTCATAGGAACACGTTCTTAATTCGTGAAATTAAACATTATTGTCTAAATGTCCGATGTCAAGAAGGCACACCCTGGACTGTGCGCAACAACAGCGATATGCTCATTAATCTTGGAATTTCAAAATTTTGGAGTAAATAAAAACGTCCTGTTCTATTTAGAGACTACACCAGTTTTTCTCCTGCTTCAATGAACCTCGGGTTTTTAATAACTCGGTCACCTTGCATGAAAAGGATAATTATCATCTTAAGAATATAAAGTTCAATGACTCAGAGCTAATCAAATTTCTTGAAACTGGTACTGGTATTAAAGTTTTTAAATTGTTTACCCTGATACGTACCCGCCATATCTGTCGAATCGTGACGTCACCGTGCAAACATCCAACGATAAATAAGACTTTAGATAAAGGTGTTAAATCAAATAACACAAGTTTTTCAACTGCCGGGTCTTAGCGGACACATTTTCTTATTTTTAAATTTCGGAAAGTTTTTGCCATCAATTATTCCGTGCAATCGATAACCATCGCTTACTAAAAACAACGAAATTATCGTAACCACGTAATATCCAATCAAGAAAAATGATCTATCTCGCTATCCATATCATGCCAGTCTATTGCAACGCCATATTTGGTCATGTACTACGTGCGTGCGTGTGTGTCTGTGTTCCTTTTGTCGTTTAATGTCGATTAGGCAGGCCATAGGACGTTCCAACCGATAGAAGGTGGTTCACGTCAGCAACAGCGGATGCAGGAAAGAGGAGTTATTAACTCTTTGAAGCTGAGTCTTCCTTTCAAGCAACACGCCTTTCAGAAATTAAAACGGTATAAGAAAGGAGTATCATTGAAGTGACGTGCAAGCCACACGCCGCTGTATATTCGCTGATGAAAATACAAGATCCGGGAAATTGGTTAAACTTCAAAAACAGTATTACGATATTATTTTCCCAATCTAATCAATGGCAACATCATCATCGGATTCTGTATTCATGTAGCACCGCGTCGTCGTATGATGTCGATAAAAAGTTCAAGCTCATTCAAAACAACAGAGCACCTATCGTTTCCAAGCGTTGCATTGATGAGATTCTCAAAAAAGTCAAATTTAAAAACATCTTAACGACAAGATGATATAGAAACCAAGCGCTCTTTCTGTTAATGTCAAGATTCAACATTTGTACCAGGATTATTTTTCTTTTATTAATTATTGGTTAACAAAAGTGATGCTTGGAGAGTAGGATTTACGGGAATTAAATCGATGCTTCGGGCAATGCTCTCAGCCTGTCGTCGATCTCGTGGTATTTCGTCCGGTCGAGAGCAGCGCTGTCGGCGGTTCGTGTCGTTGCGAGTGGCTGGGTGAGTTGCTCAGAGTTGATTAGGCGGGCTGCGGGTTGAAGCGGCTCGAGAGACCGAGAGGGGTGCGTGTCAGCGAAAGCGAACTTGGGAAAGTGTCCGACCTAACCTAGTCCGGTCTACCCCTTCGGCCTTACGCCCCGCCTTTACTAGTTCGATATGGTCTAAGCGCATTTTAATTGCACCTTGCGGACGCCGAGCCGATATTAATTCATCGCGAATCGGAAGGCTTTTCCCCTCCCTCGCTTTTTCATCCCCGTGCGTCTGTTGCCTCTTCCGATTTTCGTAAAGTAGATGGATTACTAAACCGCGCGCCGGAGCCGCGCGCTAGACACGCATCGAGCACGCACCGCGCGCTTTTATTAGGTCGCGTTCACAGCGTGACGCGATGCGGCTTATCTCGAATTATCAGACCTATTTGCGGACCTTTCTTTGCACAGCACACTCGAACGTTGGGCAAACCTAAATCGTGGAGCGGACTCCTCGTCTCGTTTTGAGAATTCCTAAATGCACGTTAGACAAAGCAAATTCAATTGCAGTTCTTTTTCAATGCAAATTTAAACGTTTAAAGTGGCATAAACGGAACACCCGAGGAGCCTCATTTATGAAACTTTATTCACCGAACTAGGTGTACCAAATCGATTGAAATTTTAACTCTTGAATATGGAGGCCCTAGGGAAGTTCTGACATCCATGAAATTTCATTTTTTTTAATTTATTTACAAACCTTTCTTTAAACATTATATACAAAATTGAATGTTATGGATGTCAGAACATTCCTTAGGACTTCCATATTTACATAATAAAATGTAATACGATTCAGTACACCCTGTTTGGAAGAAAGGTTCATAAACGATGAACCTCCCAGAGGTCGCTTTCATATCACCTTGAATATCACATCTACTAGAAGGAGTATATTGATACTATACTGGATGCCAT